GATCTCCGAGCTCAACCGGCATGTCCAGCGGCTGCGGACTGAAATCGACAGCGTGAAGAAACAGGTAAAAAGCAGTAAACCCCACACTTTTCATCAGTTTAACCCCTGGCTTGCAAGGGAGAGGAAGGAAAATATCAGAGGCGACCTAGGCAAGTTCTGCCCAGTTTGACCCTTTTTCTCGCAAAAGCAGAACTGTCACTAAAACTGTTATAGCTGATGGTGCTGGAACAAAACCTTGTGATTTCAGAGCAGATAAAGAACAAGTCTAGGTCATGTATGGGGAATTTGACTGTGGGTTTCTCTTCCATAGTGTGCAAATCTGAAAGCGGCCATCGCGGATGCTGAGGAACGCGGGGAGCCTCAAAGATGCCAAAGCCAAACTGGCCGGGCTGGAGGATGCTCTGCAACAGGCCAAGGCCGACCTGGCCCGGCAGCTCCGTGAGTACCAGGAGCTCATGAATGTCAAGCTGGCCCTGGACATCGAGATTGCGACCTACAGGAAGCTGCTGGAGGGCGAGGAGAGCAGGTGAGTGGGAATCACAACCCTTCTAGTCCTGACGTCGCAAAAGCGAAGCAATGTGAGCACGGGAGATGCTCAGCACTTCTGAAATGCTAAACGGGACACACACACACACACACACACACACACGACGACATTGTCCTAGCTAATGAAATAGCATCACAGGAAGAATCCCCAGATTATGCCAAGTTTTTATTTTTCTCCCAAAAGGTCTCTAGGAAATGTACCCTACTACTTCCCCCCCCACTATCAACAGACTTCTTACCATCTTACCTTGCTGTGTTCTGTCCCCTAACAGGCTGGCTGGAGATGGCGTCCCAGTGAATATTTGTAAGTCTCTAAAATATATGCAATTACCTTATTTAAGCATTAGTGTGTCTCTGCACCAAGAAGCCAATGCCCAGAGACCCTGAAAGCTTTCCCTTCTCCTTCTTGCAGCCGTGACCAGAACAACTGTGGGAACGGGATACGGAGGAGGAAGCAACCTCAGCATGGGAGGGGGGGTCTGCAGCATAGGGAACAGCTTCAGCTGTGGAAGCGGTCCCGGGGTTAGCAGCGCCACTCTCGGAGGTGGCAGCAGCTCCAGCGTGAAGTTCGTCTCGACCTCCTCCACCAGAAGAAGTTACAGAAGCTAAAGGTTTTCCTTTCAGACGCCTTCACTCGCCAGAAAACACTTTAACGCTGGTCCTTTACTACTGCATAGTTGGGGTCAACGGAATGAGGGCCACCTAAACCCTACGTCTTGTCGCACAGGAGCCTCACTTTAGGAACTCTCTCTCAGCTGTGTTGTCTAGCATGCGTTGTGTAGGGCTCTGCTATTGAAACATCAGTCCAACTGTTTTAAATTTGCAACTTGCTTGTTACAGCTCAGCATTTTTTGGCTGGATTTTGTACATAAAATGTGTCCCATGACTGTTTGTCTCTCTTCACTTTCTGGTGTTTGTCTAATAAAAATGCATACATAATTTATTATATTGCATGGACCTTTTAATTAAAGACACGGAACAGCAAATGCAAATGCAGATAACAAGCAATTTTCCTAGGGCCCTGCCCAGTTAAAGGCACAGATTTTTGCTCCTCATTCACATTTCCCAAATCTCTCCATTAGAAGCCAAAATACACAGGCATAGCGAAGCACCAAAGGGAGGTTTGTCATTGATTTAAACGTTCTCCCCACCACACAAGCCGAAGGCCTGGAAGGTAAACACAGGGCACGCCAAGGCAAGAGTCAAGCACAGGGGAAAAGGTCTAAGATTCATTTATCATGCAGCTTCCAGCTAATACAACATCCAGGAGCCTGGCTCCTGGGGGTACAAAGGGCAGTGCCAAGTGTGTGATGTACCTGCACAAACTCCTAACAACAGGGAACTAATTACCAGGAGAGTCAGAGCAACCACCTGACTTGTTCCAGAATATCAGTCCACGTCAAAACCCCGTTTACTGTGAGCTGCCTCCCCGAAGCGTAAACATGAGCGCATCAAAAGCACTCCTTTTCTGTTCAGAGCACTGGCCGTGCTGTTTTAGGTGTCGATCTTTGGCCTTGATGCTCACGTTCCCTCTCCTTTGAGTATACGCAGGTGGAGGATCTGGTCCATATGTATTCACATGCTAAGCTGAATGAGAGATGTCTGACAGCTATAAAAATATCCAAGAACGGGACACCTGTTGGAAAGTGAAAGTCTTCAAGATCCAATGTTTCTTCACATTGCTAAAATACATTGGAGACAAGACCTTGTTTTGAGAAGGTGGAGAGAAAACAGAGGAGGTGTAGCAATTTTAGATGTGGTTCTGACTAATCAGGAGAAAATAATTGAGAAGTAAAAGCAGAGCAACATCTGGCTAAAAGCCACAGAGTGACAGATCTCACTGCTGGAAGATCAGTAGAACAAATAGATGTGATTAGATAAAAGGTCCCAGCTCTCACCTCATGTATTTCAGTAAGTTCAAGTAATGGGTAGGGAAGCACTCTTAGGAAAATACTCAATGGGAACTGCCCTGAATGCCTGAATGTATGCAGATTTTCCGTCAAGACCAACAGTTTCCTATAATTTTCTAGGATGCTCTGAACTCTGCATGTTCCTCTCTGGATCCCTCAGGAAAACTCCTTCCCAAAGACTTGCAGGCTTTCTTGTGGCTCACTCTGAACAGCAGCCTGGGCAAGGTTAAGTAATGGTCTTCCTCATTGCTGCCCAAACATACTCTCCAACCAAAGCGGATATGATGTACACAGCCAGCAGGCACGTCGGATGGATGCCATCCATTGCATCAACACCTGGGTCATAACGCAGAGATTATGAAGGCTTTCATCCAGCATGTGAAAGGCTGGGGCCAGAATATTTGTTCTCCCAGGGCATCCCTTTTTAAGCAAGACACGAAAAAACCCACCCTGGGAAAGGTTTGCAGCTCTGGATACACAGCCAGTGTAGAGCTGTCCTTGCTCCAGAGCAAGTCTCTGGTCACCACGTATGGAACCTTCTGCATCCAGTCCTGCTGGACAAGTTAACCAGATGTAGGGATGACCTGGGGCTCACATTTCGGTGGGAGAGGACAGCCCTTGTTAATTCTAGCTCAGCCCAGATTAAAATCTTAGTCATAATGAAATGAATGGTGCTTGCACTCAGGGGCTTGAATTTGCAATGCGTAGAGAGAACAGATTACTAATTGCTACCCATAATGTTTTTACAGAGCTCTTTAGGACAGACAGTAGCTTAGTCAAAGAAGCTCTTCTCTTTTAAAAACTGCTGCTTCTTGTAACACACAGTAGCTGAAACACTCCCGGAACAGTTATTCTAGCTTTGTTCCAGGGTGCGTCATGGAAACATTGGAAGAATAGAGAGGAAAATAGAAAAGAAAAAAAAACAAACCAAAAGCATGGCTGCAAGGCAAAAAGACATGACAGGCATGTGCAAATTACCCTCCAGGGACCTGTTGGTCAAACCCACTGGGCCGCCTGGCCTCCATGTGTGAAATGGCAAGCACAAGTGTGCATCTGAAAGATGCATCTGCGAACACCTGCTCCATATCCTGGTGCCTGCACGTGTCACTGTAACAGCTGGAGAAGGCTACAACTTCCCAGCAACACTCTGCCAGTGGGCTGCTACCTCCTCTGATGAGTAGGTGTTCAGCTTGGGCATGGGCATCCATAAGAGAGACCTACCTTGGCAAAGCCAAAGGGCTGCAGAGTCTGAGAGCAGTATGTCCATCCCTGGAAAGTTACAGACATTCAGAGGAGGCACTGAAAGTGTCTTTCAAGCACCTTGCCTGCTCTGGGATAAGTGCCCATGTGTACAGGGCTACCATACAGCATGCACAGGGCAAGTCAAGACAGCACGCGTCTTTCACCACAGAAACGCACTATTTGAGTTTTCCTGGGTGCTATGTGGAGTAAGAGTAGAGGGAGTTGACTGTGAACAATGTCATAAGCCTGGATCCCAAGCACTGAATTTCCTTGTGAGTAAGCGATATCAGAGGGGGAAGACAACAGACATGGGGAGGGCAGCCTGGGAACAGGCTTCAGACTGTGTAGAGGCAAGGTCACCCCATGAGTCAGGGAACAGCCCCAAAAATCTGTGAAGGTGAAGCCCTGAGAAATTGCCAACTCAGGTTTTGTGTCGTCACAGCCAACAGTAACTCCCTCCCCAGTCACATACTGGTATTTCATCATTTGTTGTCAGTCTGCATCAGGATGAAACGCAGACACTTTTAATGGAAAGAAAAGGTCTGAAAATACCATTCGTAAAGCTCCCTTCCATGTCCTTCCCACTGCCCAGCTGGTTCTTGATAGCCGATGATCCAAGACTTCCACTAATGCCCCATCACCACCCTGGCTTTCCCTCCATCATCTCTTTGTCCCTTCTGTATCAGTTCTGGTTTAAATGACTCTTCTTTGGGCATGAGAACGAGAGTCCAGAATTTCCAACAAGTCGGGGCCTGAAGTGCTGAAGCCCCGTTAGATCTTACTCAAAACCACAGCAGCAGGAAAAAGTAGACCCACAACAACAGATTTGTCAGACCTAGGACAACTGCACTGTGAAATCATGTGCCTTTACGCAACAGAGGGATTGATTCATCCATGAAATAGAGATGAGCGAGCCCTTGCCCAACACAGGGAACCATCTACTGTAGAGGTGAAAGGAGGGAGTGGGAAAGGGATGGCTGCAAAGAGGAGTTGAGCAGGCAGTATTTAGTGTTTTCACAGATATTTCGACAGTCAGATCATGACTGTCACAAAAAAATGCAACTCCTGCACTTTGCAAGTGCTTCATAGGTGCTTGTGCTCATGGTGAACTCACCGTCCGCTTTGCTGCTGGGTGTGCCGAGCCCAGTTAATCAGAAAGATGAGCCAGACCCATCCCCAGATGGGAAGGGTATAAGAGGGCCAGTCCCAGCCAGAGGTAGCACAGCTTCACCTTCCTGCCTTCATCCACTTCCTCACTGCTTCATTCTCTCTACCGCTCCCACCCTGCTCACACCAGCTGCCATGTCTCGCCAGTGCGCTGCGAGGAGCCAGAGCAAAACTGGCTTCAGTGCTGCTTCCGCCTTCATCCCAAATGCTAGCAGCACCAGCTTCTGCGCACTTTCTGCAACCCAAGGTGGAAGCTGCGGTACCCCCACTGGATATGGAAGATTTGGTGGAGGTTTTGGAAGCAGGAGCCTCTACAGTCTTGGTGGATGCAAGAGGATCTCCCTGGCTGGAAGAGGTGGTGGCTTCTACGGACCTGCAGGTTTTGGTGCTGGTACTGGGATCTCCTGTGGTTTTGGTGGTGCAGTTGGCGGTGCCTTCGGGTTTGGTGGTGGCATGGGTGGCCCTGGATTCCCTGCTGTCCCTGCTAGGGGCATCCATGAAGTCTCAGTCAACCAGAGCCTTCTGAAACCTCTCAACCTGGAGATTGATCCCAACATCCAGAGCATCCGCAAGAATGAGAAGGATCAGATTCAAACCCTCAACAACAAATTTGCCTCCTTCATTGACAAGGTGAGACACAAGATTTCTTGGTTGTGCTGTGATGATTCTTCAGTGGGGAAGCATAAACAAGGGCAAGTTATATCTTCATCAGGAATTTTGCTCTTCTTGTACTGCCATTTCTAACACCAGCATCCTAGGAACAAAACCTGAGGGGTTCCAGCTTTGAGACCATTCATTCCTTGCATTAATGCTGAGATGAAACCAGCCAGCGGGGGGCAAATGGTGATACAGGCTATAAGGAAGCGGAGTTTGCAAAGAGAGCAGGAGTGTTAACATCAGGTGTGCAGTGCTGGCTTGGCTGTACAAAATGGCAGCTGCTTCTCCAGTGTTGAGAGCTCCCACCTCTCAGCAAGCGAATCATTGCAGGATTGTACCTTGCCTCTCTAAGCAAAACCACCCTGAAATCACTGTTTCTGAAATACCTCCCTTCTCTATCCAGGTCCGATTCCTTGAACAACAAAACAAGGTCCTGGAGACCAAGTGGGCCCTTCTGCAAGAACAGGGCAACAAAACTGTCAGAAATGACATTGAGCCGCTCTTCGAGACCTACATCAACAACCTCAGGAGACAGCTGAACAGCTTGCTGACAGACAAGGAGAACTTAGGAGGGGAGCTGAACAAGGTGCAAAGCCTTGCTGAGGACTTTAAGAACAAGTGAGTCTAACCATTTGTGGTCTGCCTGGAGAGCAGGGTGGGCTGTGACAGATGCCAGTCCTCTGTTGCATCTGTGCAATCAAACAAGGAAAGGTGGCCTTTTTGCTGCTATTATCTTCTGAGTAAGGCCAAGGTTAAGTTTAATATGAGACATATTCAGCCTCAGTTCCCCATGGCTGAAAGCCACAAGCAGAAAATTACCGGGCTAAGAGACCAAGGTACAAAGAGGTTGGTCCTGAGAATAGGAATGACTTTTGTACAAGCCTAGACCAACCCTTGGTTTCCATTCTGCAGATATGAAGAGGAGATCCACAAGCACACAGCTGTCGAGAATGAATTTGTGATCCTGAAGAAGGTGGGTGCATGCACGCTGTGGCCCCCAGCCCTGCACAAGCGTAGCAAGAAACACATTCCCCAGCTTTTCCTCTGCTTCTCTGAAAATCACTTCATCTTTGTGATGCATTTCCTCTTCTAGGAGGTGGATGCTGCCTACACAAACAAGACAGAGCTTCAAGCCAGGCTGGACTCCCTTTTGGAGGAGATAGATTTCCTCAGAGCCCTCTATGAAGCTGTAAGCACCAGTATTTACATCCTTCTCCCATTTTCCAGCATCCTTGCCTTACTTTCCCACTTCAGAGGCTCAGGACTGATTATTTTCCACTCTGTTGCACTAAATAATTCAGTACTTATTCCATTTCACCTGCTGTCTTAACCCTGCCTGAAACTGTCTGGGAAAAATCACTTTGTCCACCCAGGTCTGCCCTCTAACTTGGGGGACTTTCTCCCTCTGAGCAACATTCACGTCTCAGCCTGTGACTCACCAAAATGCCCGCTGCTTTTGCAGGAGCTGTCTCAGATGCAAACCCAGATCTCTGACACCTCTGTCATCCTGACCATGGACAACAACCGCAGCCTGGACATGGACAGCATCATCGCAGAAGTCAAAGCGCAGTACGAGGACATCGCCAACCGGAGCCGGGCAGAGGCTGAGTCTTGGTACCAGTCCAGGGTGAGTGCCTAGAAAGGCTTTTGCAATAGGAAAACCACATTCCCTCCCCCAAATCTCCATGGGGAGGAGGTGGGTCCCACCGTGATTTTTGTAAGACAGGATGTCTTCAGATTTAATAATGGTATAAAGTTTGGAAGTGCTAATTTGGGATTGAGAACATACGCTTACTTCTGAGTGCAAACACCCGCATACCCACATTCTGCTTGGCTCTGAACCCAATATATTTTACCTTGACTGGTTGTTCCTCTCTCTGTGACAGTACGAAGAGCTGCAGGCTACGGCAGGCAGGCATGGGGATGACCTCCGTACCACCAAGCAGGAGATCTCCGAGCTCAACCGCCACGTCCAGCGGCTGCGGGCTGGAATAGACAGCGGGGAGAAAAAGGTAAAGAAACAGTGTAAATGCGTAAGACTTAACCCTTGCTGTGGTCCAGCCTCTTGGTTGTCTGACTTCTTGGTTGTCTGACCTCTTGGTTGTCCAGCCAGCTCCAGGGAACAAAAACAACTGCATCTCAGCAAGTTCTGCTGGATCAGGAATGAATGTGACAGCAACTATCTCAGTGCAGTAACATCACTAAGAGTAACAATGCAATATGAGTAAAGCTGAGGAGATGTTGAGGAGTGTGGAGTTAGATTAAATCTAGGTTGTGACCTGGCTCAGAACATGGATCAATTCAATGATGGCTAAGATCACACCCATAGATGTTAACCCAAAGTCTTCTGCATCTAGACCAGGCATCACGACCTCAGGGTACAAAGAACTGGTCTATGCTCTAGACAATGGATGCAATCAGTATTTTTCCTCCTCAGTGTGCAAGTTTGCAGACAGCCATTGCAGATGCTGAGCAGCGTGGGGAGATGGCTGTCAAGGATGCCAGGGCAAAACTGGCTGAGCTGGAGGCCGCCCTGCAGAAGGCCAAGACAGACCTGGCCCAGCAGCTCCGTGAGTACCAGGAGCTCATGAACGTCAAGTTGGCCCTGGACATCGAGATTGCGACCTACAGGAAGCTGCTGGAGGGCGAGGAGTGCAGGTGGGTGCAATTTTATATCCCATTGCCAGAGGTGCAGTGGAGTTGCGGACTCTTGTCAGATTTAGACTTCCTGTGTTCAGAGGACCTGCAACCTGTTTAACAGCAAGCAAATGCCCATGAAGATGAGCTTTTTGGAAAGATGGTAGCCTTTTGCACCAACTTTCCAACTTCCACCAAAAATATTCCAAGGAAAATTCTCTTGCCTTTTCAACCAGCTCCTGTTCACGTGTTGCCCTTGAGTTCTTACCAGCTCATTTTGCTCCCTAACAGGCTCTCTGGAGAAGGTGCCGGCGCAGTGAATATCTGTAAGTAACTTTTAAAGATAGTTTGGCAACTTTTACATTGGTCTTCCCACCAGTCAGAGCCCCCTGTTTGTGGATGCCTCTAAAGAGGGTGTCTTCCTCTTGCAGCTGTGACCAGAACCACTGTAGGAACAGGATATGGAAGCGGAAACTGTCTCAGCTTTGGAGGCAGCAGTGGTGTTGGAGGTGGGGTCTGTGCTGGAGGAATGGGCTTCAACTCTGGAAGTGCACAAGGCACAGCTGGGTCATGTGTGGTCGGTGGAAGCAATTCCAGCGTGAAGTACGTCTCCACCACCTCTTCAACCAGGAGATGCTACTGAAGTCAGACATCAGCACTGTCAGCTAGCGTGTGCCCAGTGCCCTCTCGTATTGCATGCAATCCTTACCATGTTACTTGCAAAAGATTTGGAAGTCCAACCTGTCTGTCCTTATTTATATGAAACATGTCATGCGCCTGTTTGCTCTTTGACTCTCTGAAACCCTCATTTCCCAGTGTTTGTCTAATAAAAGTCACGTGGAATTAATTCTGTCACATCCTCCTTTTAATTCCAATTACTTCATAGGACCTTTCGGAAAAGAATGGCTGACATAGCAGAGTAGAGCTGAAGGTAAACAAAAGTTGTACACACAAGGGTTGAGACCCTTAATTCCTCTGCATACTACTGCAACTCCGTGGTCACCTCTTCTATCCAACAGGAATAGAGTAGCTGAATGTTCCATTCCCATTTGTGTGAGCAAAGTTTATTAGCATCAGTATCTTCCACAGGATGGGAAAATATCTACTCTTCCTAGCAAGCACTAGAGAAAACATTCTTCTGCTTAATTTCTACATTACGACATCTCAGCATTTTCATGCCACCTTGATCGCGCCCAAACCTGTGTAATCTTTTAAGGTTTTACATGATGAGTCATGGAGGGATGTAAATCTAGTTCTTCCCAAGAAAGCAAGTATTTCAGCTCATGCTGTTCTGTACATGCACCAGCTCCAGGGGGCTAACAAAATGCTGTCACTGCCATTACCATAATGAGAAATGGAAAAGACCCACTAAACCCCCAGACTCTCCCTCTTTGGGAAGAAGAATGTCCGCAGACATAGGCTGCGAGACAGCTGAAGACCCTGAGGGTAAGGAAAGTTCAGTTCCCCCTCTCTGGTCTGCTGAACAGCAGAAAGAAGAGACCAACTACAAAAGCACCAAAGCTCATTTTAAGAAAAAACCGATCCTGTGCTGAGATTACCAGAGCAGATTGTTCTGGGTTAGCCTCCGACGCGACCCTGCCGAGTGACTAAAGCACTAGAGGCAAACGTGGTGCACATTAAGTGCATGCCGACTCCTAGCCTAAAGAGAAGGTGACATAATAAACCCCAGCTTGTCACTAATGCTCTCAATCTAAGCACAGTAACACACTACTGGAAAGGACATGGCTTGTCGTCTTCACCTGCCCATCTTTGCCTGGCATCTCCGGACCGTATTTCCACTGACACCAGCAAAACTGGCATTTGGTTTAAACACCGTTCAGCATCAAAACAGGCATCTGATGACCTCGACGTTTACAAGTTAGGCTGTTTTCTCTCTGGGGGACCGTGTAACTTTTAGCTATCCCATTATTCAGCATTTCAGCTAAGCAGAGCATCCAGGCTCCCTTTGTAGCCAACAAAGGGGCACAGGTGCCTCCCAAATTATCTACTTTGCCAGAAGTACCTCTGCGCAGATGAAGTGCTGCCTGTAAAGATGAGGAGCACAGACCAAGACATCTAACTTGTGCCTAAATCCTGTGAAAGATCAGGACAGGTCACTCCTACTCCAAGGCAGCTGGCAGCTGGGGAGCAAAGTCCATTTTTCTTTAGCAAAGCACTCAAATTGGCATTTTCAATATCTCTAGATTCCTTCTTGTGGCAACTTCAGTCCCATCAGCTTGAAACTAAACGGGCACTGATGCCATTAACAAAGTTAAAAGAAAGCTCAAAGGGACCTTCCAGACATACATGTGGGTTTTTTTCCCACCAGTAATCCCTGCTCTGAAAAACACAGGTTAGAAAATTTGGTTAGCTTTACGAGCCTGATGGTTGCCAGCCCACCGCATTAGCAAGACTGGTGATTAACGGATTGGGAAAGATGGCCATGTGCCAGCATACCAAACTGATTTGCTCAGCCAGCTGAGCCGCCGTCCTCTGTGGACAAGCCCAGCTCTCCAACAGGATAAAAGGCAGAGGGGACTCCTTATCCAAACTCCCAAAGACTTCTACTCATCTGCCATCTCACGTCATTGCCCCCTGCTCTTGCCACCAGTGAACGATTGCACAGACGTCAGTCGGCATTAGGCCAGGAGAACTCATTAAGAGTTTCAGTGCTCCTTCTGCCACCATGCCTGTTAGCCGAAGTGGTTTCAGCTCCATGTCCATGTCCCGCAGCAGTGGCGGAGGCACAGGATGGATCAGCGGTGCTTTTGGCAGCAGGAGCCTTCACAATCTTGGGGCAAGCAAGAGGATTTCCATGAGTGGAGGGCATTGTTCTCCTAGACCGGGATACAGCTATGTGTCAGGTCATGGCGGGCTTGCATATAGAGTTGGTGGAGCTGGGTTTGGGTTTGGAGGAGGATGTGGCCCTGGAGGTATTCAGGAGGTCATGGTCAACCAAAACCTCTTGGTACCTCTTAACTTGGAGATTGACCCCAACATGCAGAGAGTGCGGCAGGAGGAGAAGGATCAGATCAAATCCCTCAACAACAAATTTGCCTCCTTCATCGACAAGGTAAGATGCGTTCCACTTCATCCAGCCTGACATGTTTGTCTTTGCCTGTAGAGTAGGATCAGGATTGCTCTCAGCATTATAAGTTTAGTTCTAAATGCTTAGGGCACAGAGTTAAGGATTTTGTTCAGCTTGTTATCTCCATAAATACAGCTTCGTTTTGTCAGAGCTCTATAGATGGTCTGGATATGGTGCAAATCATTTTTCCTGGTTTCTTTGTAGTTGAGTGTTGCTCCTGGTTTCCAGATCTTCCTACCAATGATCTTAGGTCATGCCCATCTAAATCCCACTTCAAATTACATAAAACAAAACCCAAGCCCCCTGACATTAAAGCCCAATCTCATGAAAAATTAGGCAGGTTTTAAGCTGATGATCCCAAACGATTTAAATTGTTCTGATGGGTTTCAGGTGCGGTTCCTGGAGCAACAAAATAAAGTACTGGAGATGAAATGGAGCCTCTTGAAAGAACAAAAAATTGTGAAAAATAACCTTGCACCTATGTTTGACACATACATCGGTAACATGAGGAGACAGCTCGAGGCTCTAGGAGAGGACAGGCTGCGGCTCAGCTCAGAGCTGAAGGCTATGCAGGATGCTGTTGAAGACTTCAAGAGTAGGTAAGCAACACACATAAAAAGAAACCTGTCCAGTTTTTCTTCAATCTTTTTCCTGGATGAGTTAAAAGACACAAGGCAATCCCAAAATTCTGAGACCTCAGAAACGACTGAAGTGACTTGGTTCCCCTGGCTTTCGCTGCTGCATGAATGTCAGCAGCAGGACTCTACCCATGCAAGACACATGCATTTTTTTGCAGGGACAGGTGAACTTTTTTAAAGGCTCGGACGATCAGACACTCCTATGAGTTCAGGAGTAGCTTCTCAAAAGCTTAGCCTGTCCAGAATCTTAAGCTTTCCAAATGGTTTCAGCTCCTGTGTAGTCATTTGAACACAGACCAGGATGAAACCTGAATCTTTATAAGACCATTGAGCACTCTGAACACTCACATTTCTTGCTGATGCGGGTTCCTTTCCAGGAGAGAAAAAATGTCTAAGAAGAAAGCTTAATTTTAAGTGTATGCTAAAGTGTTCTTCTTCATTAGTTTTTTTTCTTTCTTTTTCTTTTTTTAATTAGTATAATGTCCCTTAATATCAATGTATTGGATAGTTTTAGCAGTTCTGAAAGCCAGGAGTTAGCTTCTACACCATGCTAAGTCAGTAAAATATTAGGCAGGGTTTCAGCTAAGCTCATTAACTCTTTAGGCTCTTAGGAGGAGGTGTTCTCTCTCATCCACTCTTTGCACTTTTGAAAAACATCTATCAAGCGTTAATGTCTGCTACCATGCCCACGAGGGATACACTGCTTAATGGACATGAATAAGTAAGGAGCTTAAATTGTCAGTTTGGAACCAGAAAAACAAGAGATGAGAGCTAGGAGGAGGCTGCAATTCAAAACAAGGACACGCGAGTTCTGCCAAAACCCCTCTGCTCTCCCTTTCTTGGGAGATCACACGTCTGACACTTTCTGCCACCTTTACCAGC